TTTGCCTAAGATCACCCAGAAGGGAATAAAACCCACATCTCCTAAATCTCAGCCCAGTGTTCTATCCACTAGGCAACACCCTTGTTTACTGCTACAACCCTGAGGCCTGATCTACACTACAAAGTTAGGTCCACGTAAGCCACCTTGTGTCCACCTAGTTGTGACATGTGTCTACACTTAAATTTGTCTCCCATTGATGTAAGTGTCCAGTGTAATTACAATTGTGAGTGCCACACTGCCCAGGGGTCATGGAGACTAGAAGCCCCTTCTCTCCTTTAAACCCCTGTGAATTTTTGAAATACCTTTTCCTGATTGCCCATCTTGGCAAGCACACCTAGCAGCTCTCCATTTTTGTGTGCAACTGCCCAGCAGACTATGCCAGCTAAAGTTTCATTCAACCAAGCAATTCCCTCCTCAATTCCATTTCTCTGGTGCCACACTCACCATGGCTGATGCTGTGAGTGGCATAAAGCAGCTGCAGGTAGTGTATAGTTTGTGCGAATGCATACTTGGCTCCTTGCATCGGCACTGTTCATTCTTCCCAGGAGTGCTTGTGTTAATGCACAGTGTGGCACACCATGGATAGAGATCCCAGTGTGTAACCCACCACCATCCAGCACACTGTCTTTTGGGAAGTTTTGGCAATGCATGGTGGGGCAGAAACAAGTCGCACAGGGTGACTGAGAGCAAGAGGTCAACTTCACAGCATGCAATTTTCTCTGTCCCATAATGTCATCTGTCCCATAATTTTCAAAAAAATCCTATGAACCAGCAGAGTCCTCCTTGCTGTCCACCATCTCTGACAGAAACCTGGACATTACTCTGCACTATTGTCATAAGCATTGAAAGCACAGGACACACAATCCTCCGGTATTTGCAGAGCCACAAGAAGAAGCGAATCAGCAGGGAACACACTCTTCGTTTAGCTAGCATAGAACTATTATTGCCATGGTTGCTGAACTCTGAGCCTGTTTTCTTTAAGACAAAACAAGACAAACACATGAAAAAGACCAGAGAACAAACAGCAGAGAAAATTTAGCTTCTGTCTCTGGTGCTGACTTTCAAAAGTAATTTCACTACTGTAGAATCACAGGCTCAGTGCATGGTCTTAATCAGCCTGACTCTGACACCTGGTAAACTATAGGCCAGAGATTGGCAACCTTTGGCACGTGGCTCGCCAGGGTAAGCACTCTGGAGGGCCGGGCAGGTTTGTTTACCTGCTGTGTCCGCAGGTTTGGCCGATCGTGGCTAAAACCCACTTCATCGGAAGCAGCAGCCAGCACATCCCTCGGCCCGCGCCGCTTCCTGCAGCCCCCATTGGCCTGGAATGGCAAACTACGGCCAGTGAGAGCTGCGATCAGCTGAACCTGCGGATGCGGCAGGTAAACAAACCAGTGCTTATGCTGGTGGGCTGCGGGCCAGAGGTTGCTGATCCCTGCTATAGGCTGTTTAAGCAGGGCTGGCTCCAGCTTTTTTGCCACCCCAAGCGGCAAAGAAAAAAGAAAAGGAAAAAAAAAAACCCTGATTGAGCTACCGCCGAAGTGCCACCGAAGAGGAAGAGAAGGCGTGAAGGACCCGCCACCGAATTGCCACCGCAGACCTGGACGTGCTGCTCCAATAACGGACGGAGTGCCGCCCCTTTCTACTGCCCGCCCCAGGCACCTGCTTCCTTCGCTGGTGCCTGGAGCCAGCCCTTTGTTTAAGGCATTGCTTTTAGTTGTCTTTCTGGTCAAGTGCTCAAAGCACAATAGCAAAAGGTGTGGTTTTCTTGGTGGCTAACACAGAAGGGGGCTATTAGAAGACAAAAAGAGAAAGATAGAACAGAGAAGAAATAAAGTGAAGAAGGAAAAGGACACACAAAGGAAAGAATGACCGAAGGAACCCAAATCTGACATTCCAGGTGTTCAAGATTTAGCTAAAGCTGGTGGAGGTGATGATGTCATTTGGTTCCCTCTTTATGGCCCAATGTGTTCAGAACGTCTTTAAGGATTAGAACGATGAAGGCCCAACAGTGTTATGGAAAAAAGAACGAGGAGAACTTGTGGCACCTTAGAGACTAATAAATTTATTTGAGCATAAGCTTTCGTGGGCTAAAACCCACTTCATCGGATGCATGCAGTGGAAAATACAGTAGGAAGATATATATATATATACACAGAGAACATGAAAAAATGGGTTTTGCCATACCAACTCTAATGAGACTAATCAATTAAGGTGGGCTATTACCAGCAGGAGAAAAAAAAGTTTGTAGTGATAATCAGGATGGCCCATTTCAAACCGTTGACAAGAAGGTGTGAGTAACAGTAGGGGAAAAATTAGCATGGGGAAATAGTTTTTACTTTGTGTAATGACCCATCCACTCCCAGTCTTTATTCAAGCCTAATTTAATGATGTCCATTTTGCAAATTAATTCCAGTTCTGCAGTTTCTCGTTGGAGTCTGTTTTTTAACGTTTTTTGTCGAAGAATTGCAACTTTTAGGTCTGTAATTGAGTGACCAGGGAGGTTGAAGTGTTCTCCAACTGGTTTTTGAATGTTATAATTCTTGACGTCTGAGTTGTGTCCATTTATTCTTTTGTGTAGAGACTGTCTGGTTTGGCCAATGTACCTGGCAGAGGGGCATTGCTGGCACATGATGGCATATATCACATTGGAGGATGTGCAGGTTAACGAGCCTCTGATGGTGTGGCTGATGTGATTAGGTCCTATGATGGTGTCCCTTGAATAGATATGTGGACAGAGTTGGCAATGGGCTTTGTTGCAAGGATAGGTTCCTGGGTTAGTGTTTTTGTTGTGTGGTTGCTGGTGAGTATTTGCTTCAGGTTGGGAGGCTGTCTGTAAGCGAGGACTGACCTGTTTTGGGGGGAGAGATAGCTCAGTAGTTTGAGTATTGGCCTGCTAAACCCAAAGTTGTAAGTTTCAATCCTTGAGGGGGCCATTTAGGGATCTGGGGCAAAATTCTGTCTGGGGATTGGTCCTGCTTTGAGCAGGGGGTTGGACTAGATGACCTCCTGAGGTCCCTTCCAACCCTGATATTCTATGATGAGTGAGGGATTGTCCTTCAGGTTAGGTTGTAGATCCTTGATGATGCACTGGAAAGGTTTTAGTTGGAGGCTGAAGGTGACAGCTAGTGGCATTCTCTTACTTTCTTTGTTGGGCCTGGAGTAGATTAGGTGACTTCTGGGTATTCTTCTGGCTCTGTCAATCTGTTTCTTCACTTCAGCAGGTGGGTATTGTAGTTTTAAGAACGCTTGATAGAGATCTTGTAGGTGTTTGTCTCTGTCTGAGGGATTGGAGCAATGTGGTTGTATCTTCGAGGTTGGCTGTAAACAATGGATCATGTGATGTGGTCTGGATGAAAGCTGGAGGCGTATAGGTCAGTATAGTGGTCAGTAGGTTTCCAGTATAGGGTGGTGTTTATTAACACTGTAGTGTCCAGGAAGTGGATCTCTTGTGTGATAGCAGCCACCTTGGCAAAGCTTGCTCCCTCTAGACCACCTGTTGCCATGCTCCCTTTTGGTGCCTCCCACCCTGAGTTAAACAGTGTCCAGAATAGGTGGCAACCTCATCTCATTAAAATTAACCAGTCAAAACACATATAAGTGATTTCTACTATAATCATTCCCTCCAACTTCTAGAGTCTTTCAGCTCATTGTCCTGCCAACCTATGACAGGAGCCCCTTATCACCATTCTTTTAACTTAATTCCGCTTGTACCAGTTATTAGTTTCCAACTGTTGCTGATTTTTACAATTTTATATTACAATTGGACTTCTGTTACCTTGGACAACTTAGACATCTGCTCAACAGAACCTTGGTTGTTCGTGGGGCTAACACTGGTAATTCACAATCAATAGCAATACCATGGCCAGAAATCAAAGCACCCTTGTGTTTGGCCCTGCCTACCATGGTGTGAGAATCCAGCCAATGGTGATTTGTAAGGCATCTCTTTCTACTTTGGACCTGCTCCTCCTCCCACATACACTGATGCAAATCAGAAGTCACTCTGGTGAAATGGTTGGGACAACTGAAGGTAAGACTTAGGTGGCTGAGAAGGGAATCGGGCCCACTGTCCTAATAGCTCACGGCTTGAAAATGTTACCAGATGCCCACTAATTGCAGGATTAAACCTACTAGTTACTACTTAAGAAAATACGGTGTTGGAAGACACATAAGCAAAGTTCAAAGACAATGGCCTGATGAGAAGTCCAACACTCCTGCCACGCCCAGCAGCTGGGAATGGGAAGGGTCACAGTGTTGGGTTTTCTACCAGATTGCTCCACTTTGTGTATCAGACTGAGGGCTTGTCTACACATGGAAGTTATTCCTGAATAAGGTAGGGTGTGAATTTAAAGGGGGCCAGCTTTCATAACCCCATTTGTGGACTCTCCTATTCTGGAATACCAGTGCTTTGTTCTGGTTTACTTCTATCCACTTCCAAATCACTCAAACTAATTTGAAACAAACAAACAAACAAACAAAACCCCACGGTTATTCCGGGTTTGGTGTCCACACTTGGGAGCTATTCCGGAACAGCTCATGTGGAGACAAGCCCACAGGTGCTTGGTGCACGTGCAGCTCCATCCCCGGCTACATGCTGGAAGGGAACGAAGTGGTCAGTGGTTTTGTCCTTCCCTCCCAGCATCTTCTGCTGTGTACAGGGGCTGCTCCCGGCTGGCACTCTGGGGAGCTGGGCAGGACTTGGCCACTAGCGTTCTCTCTTCCCGCTCTCTGCGGTGGGCGCACATCCCCGCCTCCGGCCTCACTCGGTGCACTGCCCCCCGCAGTAGCAGCGGGCGGAGCCCTGCACCAGGATGCCACAGCGCCACCAAGCGGGCAATGTCCCCGCAGCCTCTCTAGCGAGCCGCGGCGGGGGGCACTGGTGCAGCCTCTTCCCTGCAGAGGGCGCTGTGCTCGCTGCGCTGCCGGCTCCCCGGCGCACTCAGCCCTCTTGGCTGCGCGCAGCGGTGCTAGCGCAGCCGCTTCTTGTCAGGTGGGAGGGTCTTGGCTGCCGGCTCCACCTGAGCGCGGCTCCACGCCTGCTTCCGCCTGCAGAGCCAGCGCCGAGCTAGCGCCGAGCTAGCCCCTCTCGCTGCCCGCCCGGCCCGTGGGTCCCGCGCACCATGCAGAGCTTCCAGTACCCGGAGGCCTATCGCGACGAGGCTGCGGTGAGTACAGCCCTGACCCCGCTGCCTTTCCTCCCGCTCCCCGCCGCCTTTGTCTGCAATGGGCGGGTGGCACCCCCCGGGGTTGCTCCCGAGCAGCTCCCCAGCCCCTGCCCGGCACGTGGGGCCCTTCTCCTGGCCGGCCCCGGCTCTGCGCCTGCCGGGCGTGCTGGGAACTGACAAGGTAGGGCTGGGACTGTCTCTGCTGCTGTTGCCCGCAGAGGGGAGCGGGGCACAGGCTGAGGAAATGGCATTCCCTTGGGGTTAGGTGGCGGGGCAGTGCGCTGTGTTTTCGGCCACTCCGGTAGGGCCTTCCAGCTGGGGAGCCCCAAATGATGTGTAAACCGGAATGTCCCCTCCCCATCCTATCAGTTAGGAGAGTATTAGCAACCCCATTTTACAGATGTAGATATTGAGGCTCTCCCTTCAGTGAGAGGCTAAGTGACCTGCCTGACATGCTAGTTAGCAGCGCTTGCTTTGAGCCTAGGGTGACCAGACAGCAAATGTGAAAAATTGGGATGGGGGTTGGGGGTAATAGTAGCCTATATAAGAAAAGGACGCAAACATTGGGACTGTCCCTGTAAAATCGGGACATCTGGTCACCCTATCTGAGCCAGCTGGACAAGGGTCTTTCCTTTGTTTTTGTTTTCTTTCAGGAAACTTTGCTAGCATGATGTTATAAAATCGTGCTTATTATTTTTGTTGCTAATCGCTGTCAGTATTGTATGATGTGGTGCAGTTTGTAGCACTGGTGTCAGTGAAAGGCAAATCTTGTCAGCAACATGTGTACTTAGTTCTGAACTGTGAGCTTCATCCCAAACTTGAAAATGTTTTCTCACAACCCTCACCATTTTTTTTTCCAGCTAAGCAGGCAGTAATGCTTTAGATTTCACACCCTTGATAAATAAAAGTATAATCTTTGTCTGGTAAATGGTACTTACATTTTGTTTTAGTTTTATAGAACTAAAGAGGTGCTCCTACTGGAATTCTGCACCACTGTGCAATGCAGAATTGTCCAGTTTAATGTTCCCCTGTGCTGCTGGTGCTGACAGCAGGAGTGTGATTATATTGTGTTATTTATAGGGCTGTCAAGCGATTAAAAAATGTAATCATGATTAATCTTGCTATTAAGCAATAATAGAATACCATTTATTTAAATATTTTTGGATGTTTTCTACATTTTCAAATATATTGATTTCAATTACAACACAGAATACAAAGTGTACCTTGCTCACTTTATATTTATTTTTATTACAAATATTTACACACTAAAAAAACAAAATAAATAGTATTTTTCAATTCACCTCATACAAGTACTGTAGTGCAATCTCTTTATCATGAAAGTTGAACTTACAAATGTAGAATTATGTACAAAAAATAACTGCATTCAAAAATAAAACAATGTTAAACTTTAGAGCCTACAAGTCCACTCAGTCCTACTTCAGCCAGTCGCTCAGACAAACAAGTTTGGTTACAATTTGCAGGAGATAATGCTACGCTCTTCTTGTTTACAGTGTCACCTGAAAGTGAGAACAGGCATTCTCATGGCACCATTGTAGCCGGTGTCGCAAGATATTTGTGCCAGATGTGCTAGTGATTCATGTGTCCCTTCATCTTCAACCATCATTCCAGAGGACATGCGTCCATGCTGATGACATTTTCTGTTCAATAACAATCCAAAGCAGTACAGACCGATGCATGTTCATTTTCATCATCAGAGGCTATGTCTACATTACAGCCGGGATCGACGTTCTGAGATCGATCCACCGGCGGTCGATTTAGTGGGTCTAGTGAAGACCTCCCAAATTGACAGCAGATCACTCTCCAGTCGACTCCTGTACTCTACTCTCCACCCCACCCATCCCCTCCCCCAGTGAGAAGAGTAAGGTAAGTCGACGAGAGAGTTTCTCCAGTCAACCCGCCCACAGTGTAGACCCTGCGGTAACTCAACCTAAGGTATATTGACTCCAGCTATGTTATTCACGTAGCTGGAGTTACGTAGCGTAGGTCAACTTGCAGCGGTAGCGTAGACAGCCTGAGTGAGATACCACCAGCAGAGGGTTGATTTTCTTTTTTGGTGGTTTGGGTTCTGTAGTTTCTGCATCTGAGGGTTGCTCTTTTAAGACTTCTGAAAGTATTCTCCACACCTTGTTCCTCTCAGGTTTTGGACAGTACTTCATATTCTTAAACCTTGGGTTGAGTGCTGTAGCTATTTTTAGAAATCTCACATTGGTACCTTCTTTGTGTTTTGTCAAATCTGCAGTGAAAGTGTTCTTAAAATGAACATGTGCTGGGTCATCAGCTGAGGCTACTATAACATGCACTATATGGCAGAATGCGGGTAAAACCATGGAGCTGGAGACATACTATTTTCCCCCCAAGGAGTTCAGTCACAAATCTAATTAATGCATTATTTTTTTAACGAGCATCATTAGCGTAGAAGCATGTCCTCTAGAATGGTAGCTGAAGCATGAAGGGCCATACGAAAGTTTAGCATATCTGACATGTAAATACACCTCAACTTCGATACAACACTGTCCTCAGGAGCCAAAAAATCTTACCACGTTATAGGTGAAACCGCGTTATATTGAACTTGCTTTGATCCACTGGAGTGCATAGCCCTGCCCCCCCAGAGCACTGCTTTACCGTATTATATCCGAATTCCTGTTATATCGGGTCGCGTTATATTGAGGTAGCGGTGTACCTTCCAACGGTGGCTACAAAGTGCCATGCGAATGCCTGTTCTCACTTTCAGGTGACATTGTAAATAAGAAGCAGGCAGCAGTATCTC